CACTGGTCATAAAAATCAATTGATGAGTACTTTGCTTCCTGATTAAATGAAGGAAGTTCCCGAAGGCTTTCATTCAGGAAAATACTTAAACAAATGCTTATCTTCCCTCCTAGTCCTCAGGTCATCTAAGCATATGCTTAATTTTAAATACATATGCTAGGGTGCTCTTCCAAAATCAAAGTTACTGATTCTATTAAGGTCACCACAAAAGCTAAACAGGAACAATGTATTTGATCAAGTCTAAACCATCCATTTTGGCTTTAGTATCCATGTAAGAAGCTTTGTTCTTAGGTAACAAAATACGTCACGGTACAAATTATAAGCAAGGTGAAGAGTTCAAATTAAATTTTATCTTTCAATTCAAATAGAGTAACAGCATGCAAACAACTGCCTCTCACTGTGCATGGGAACTAGAATCACTTTACAGGTTCATTTGACTACCTGTATATCAAGCTCGGCCAACCTTTTAGTGGGGCCTCCTGCCCCAATTCTAGCACACTAATGCCAACATCCGCTGCAGCTTTGAGTCTGTAATCTCCACCAGTGCACCCACGGACACTGATGATAAGAAACAGTATTTCTTCATTCACAATTATATATCTCTGATTACGTGAGATGAATAGTCTGCTGCTTGACATAAAGGTATGGAACTAGGCCATGCTTCCTAGAAGATACTCAACGTGCCATAATTCAGATTGATGCACTACTTCCTGGCAACCGACTTCAAATTATCCCAGCGTATACCAGGGACTCATTGTAATGGGTGCAGCAATTACCTTACCTGGCTCCTTTGATTGCCAACAGAATGATACGCTGCACGTATCAAGAGTTCATACGACTAAATGCCGATGCCAAATACTGGCATGAACACTTGTGGATACTGTGATGGAGCCAAATTAATTTTTAAAATCGCAGTGAGTAAACAGAAAAGGCTGCTTGGATGCAGCGGCAATCTTTACTGGAAAACGTGTGAAATTTGTAGAATCTCTCTTGCATGTACCGTTAAAGAGTGGTCTACAGCAATCATTTTACCACGACCAAAAGCCTGTTCTTCAGATATACCACTTGCCTTGCCCACCTTGTGCAGGTACATTCCCCTGCAATATTTCTACCAAATCCCTGGGTACAACTCTACCTAAAATGAGTAGATGGGATATAAGCTAAGGCAGCTTCTATAGCTTCTCTTTGTTGGGTAAGATTTTCAATCCTGCATGGGCTTGTGCTGAACTATACCTACAGCTAGAGATCTAATGGGTTATTTGCATGTGTAGTTACGGTTTTTTCCACAGATAATCATGGTAAAACCCAAGGCAACTTACACAGACACAAAAATACACATGCAATGATATAAAGAATTTCAGAAATCTAGCTAGGTTATTTTCCATTCTCTGAGACAGACATTAAAAACTAAACATAAGGATTTTACGTATGTGAAATGGTGACAAAAGTTGCTTGATACAATTTAAGGAAAACACTAGTTCACTTTTAACACCAGAAGCTCAAACAGTACAGCTCTATGACCTGAGTTTTGCTCACCAGAATTAGGCAAAATTTGGTCTCTGATCAGCTGTTTATTTCCTAGCTCAACCGATCCTCCTTTGTGTGGGAGGCAGACTGCATGGCTGGGAAGCAGGCTCCTCGCTAGTGAGAGACATTCGTTTCTCAAGACAACGAACCACCAAAGGCCCCAGGTCAGCCATCCTGGTTGGTGACTTTACTTGACGCCGTCTCCCTGACTTACTGTTGTACTCTGGACGTGTTAAACACCTGCCAGGTTCCTCAACAGACCATTTTGATAACTGAAGAAGAATTTTATTTCCTGCACGTTGTTGGGTCTTTTCCAGTTTGGTAAGTTCATCCCCCTCCAATAACATGTCTGCGCCTCCGCTCCCTGTGGGTAGGATCTGTCGTCTAACCACTTTCTGGCAGGTCTCTGAACTGCACTGCACTGGGCATGAACCATTTTACTGAGCAGGCCCAACTGGGCTTGGCACCCACAAGAATTTTCCTTCGGGAGTCTGTGGACAGCAATAGCGTGCAATAAAACAGAAGCCAGTTCTTCAAAACAAAGTATGATTTATTTGCCAAAGCAGGCAGAGTACTCCAAGAAATGGACGAAAGAACAGCCAGGAGACCCATGCACAAACTGTCTTACCTATCCTTGGCATTTCCCTCAAGTACCTATTTTTGCCCTGGTTTGTTTGGGGTGACCCAATTACAGCCTGTGTGGTGCAGACCCTGACTCTCAGCAAGGCAGGGGCAGCCTGCAGCAATTTCTCTCCTCCCTTCCTGCACAGTGGATCTTATAACCTTAAAGTTCATGACTTTAGCAAACAGCTGTGTAACCAGGGGTGGAGTGGAGGAGTTGCCTTTTCACAGATATTAATAGAGCTCAAATGTTTGTTGGGATGCTTCTTATCTAGGCAATTAGTTGCTTTTTACGTTTGGTTCCCTTGACAGCCCCGTTTGATTGACTTCCATTGCAAATAACCCCTCATAAATAAGCACAAACCGAACCACACGTAACTAAGCAATGCAGATTCTTCCCAGTTCCCCACAATATTAGCTAAGTAAATGACTTCACTGTCAGAAGCCCTTGTCCCAGAAAACTTTGAGCAGACATTGGAAGAGAAACAGATGCGATCACAGAACTGAACTACCTACTCTACTGTCTAGTTGCTGCAAGAAAAATCCTCTAGAAAGCAAAGCCAAAAATGGCTTCATGCTCACACCTTCAAATCACGACATCATAGATCTTTGACAGAGGAGGCAAAACAAAGAAAGACGTTTGCTTCAAGCCCTGGCAAAAAAACCACCTGCCAGCCACTGTCTGCAAAAAACTCAGTGTTCCTTGGAGACACGCTCTTCAGCTGTAAAAGAAGAAAACCCTGATACGCAGCTATCATGTATTCTCCTCTACGGGTTCAGATTTTGCTGTCACAAGTTGTCCAGCTGCAGGGAAGGATCAGAATTTGGCTCTCATTTAATGCAGCAAGCTAGAAGAGATCTGAATGTGCACTGGATAGAAAGCCTTTGAGAAATCTGACAACATTTTTACTTTTATCAGTTATCAAGGGCATAAGATCTCAGATGTCAAAGTGATATGATGTCTTTGGCATATACAAGACTTAGCTTGCATATCCAATATCTTACAAGGACAGCGCAGTAACAAGAAAAGCATACTGTGCCTTGGACAAACCACTGCTCTCTTTTATGTTCATAAAAGATCTATATAATAAGAGATGTACTCTTCCGTCATTTCAATGTCAAAACTACCAAAAATTACTCTGTCTTGAAAATGAAGAAAGACAGGCACAGTATTTAGCAGAATACACCAGTATATCCAGCTCAATTTCATGGCCTGCACTGGCTATCCAACTGTTTTGAAATAAATTCCCAAGGATATGGCAAAGACTTATTTTAATGAGTAGAGCTATGGGTCCCCTCAGAGACTTCTCGAAGAGTAACGCAGATGGAAGAACAAAGAATTTGGAAAGATCTAGAAAACAACTGCATGAAGTATTCTTGAATGTCCAAATCCCATTTCTTCTGTAAATTGGTGAAGTAGGGAAACAAAGGCCTGATCTGGAGAATTATTTCTTCATAATCTGTATTCTTAGAATCATAGAATATCTCAAGTTGGAAGGGACCCATCAGGTTCATTAAGTCCAACTCCCTGCTCCTTGCAGGACTGCCTAGAATTAAACCATATGACTAAGCATCGTCCAGACGTTCCTCGAACTCTGACAGGCTTGGTGCCATGACCACTTCCCTGGGGAGCCTGTTCCAGTGACCAACCATCCTCTCAGTGAAGGAACCTTTCCCTAATGTCCAATCTGATGTTCCCCTGAAGCAGCTTCATTCCATTTCCTCGGGTCCTGTCGCCGGTCACCAGAGAGAGGAGATCAGTGCCTCACCCTCCGCTGCCCTCCTTGAGGAAGGTGTAGACTGCGATGAGGTCACCCCTCAGCCTTCTCTTCTCCAAGCCAAACAAGCCAGGTGACCTCAGCCACTCCTCATATTAGTATGCATAATACAGATGTATTTTTCCACATGCAAAATAACTGCACACCCAGATTTCTGTTTGTATGCTGATGTAAAGTTCCCTGAAAGACTGATTTGTTTGTGCCTTTTGTATGATTCTGTGGAATTTCTGGTTTATCGGAAACAAGATGTTTTTGTCTGCTTTTAATGTTAAAATTTGATTGCAGTTTTTAAATTATTTTGAACAGGACAAGAAAGCAGGGTTAAAGCATATTTACACATCTATGGTTGGCATCAGCTAAATCATGTGTTGGGGAAAACTACATCTGCTTTTGTACATTCCCTAAAGTCCTTGGATCAAAGTCTATTCTCGGATACTGCAGTGTAATATTGGGATGACCCCAGTAAGGCAAACTGATCTGCTTCTCTTTACCAAGAAATGCAGTGTAACTCGAGTTTAGGAAGAACAAATCTTGATCAAAAAGGTAAGTGAACTTACTCCCAAAATCGCACCTGGGCAACTAAGCATTTAGCCATATGGCAGCTGACTGACCCACAGCTGACCACAGAAGTGACACACACGTCACCAATTAATAAAGTTCAGGCAAACATTAAAACAACACCACAGTTTTACCAACAGCTCTCAGCAGTGTAAGTGTTGGTCTAGGACAAACTACTGAAATGATGAGAGAACACTTCTAAATATGCTTCAGGGTCTCATATCTGATGTTCCTTAGATTCACCTTGTCTAAAGGATATCCAGTATTACCTCCAATTCGCAAGAATGAAAAGGGCATGAAAATGCTTTCTGAAATGGTATTCGTGCTCTTCATGTTCTCTTTAAAAAAAAACTATTGACTATTCATATGATACTATTCATATACTTGCAGGCATGTTTTAGTCTTAACAGTATGTATTAATAGCTGTTCAAAGGTTTGAAATACACTCCTGATCTTCGATTCAGTTAGAGAAAACAGTGCATGTACCTTCTTCTAACTGCAGAAAGAAATGTGTGGCTAGAACAGCTTATAAATGGCTCTCAAAGCACAGCAAGCGTAGGTCATTTCATGCGCAATAAAATATAAAAGTACATTTACCTTTCTTAACTTTGCTGCTCCAGCACCAGAGCGAATGGCCTCCATTAGGGCTTGCCTTGCCTCCCCAGGGCTACCTGTAGCCGCGGCAGAGGACTTGGGAGCTGCTGCTGACAGCTGAGTGGGAGGTGGTGGTGGCGGCAGCTGGGCAAGAGCAGATGGGATACACAGCTGCCTTTCCTGAGGGTCTTCTGCCTTCTGCAAGGACAGTTCTGCATTCCTAAAACTCTGCAGCTCTTGGGAGGCCAACGAGGAGATCTGCTCATGATGCAGTTGAAAGGAGATAATTAATACCAAGCATGGTTAAAATGTAATTATCTGACATTTGATGCACTTTCAGTACCCCCTCTGATTTCAGTTTGCTTAAATCATCTAAAACACGTAGAACTTTTGTTTGCTCATGGGGCTGAACATCTGTTACTGCTCATTCACATCACTCAGCTGGGCTCATTACCAGCATCAAGGATCTGGCATTAACTCTGTCTCAGAAACTCTATCTTTATTTACTGTGAGCTCCAGCATCCTGTAACTCTTCTTGGCATGTAAGGTAAGAGAGAGAATTGGACTTGGTATTCATTTAGGAACAACCACAAGGGTTCTGGAATCAGGCAGATATATAAAGGCTGCAGCAGCCACCCAGGAATCTCGCTACTTTTTGCAGCGTGGGCTGCACACACATAATCTCAGATGACAGGGAGGCTCTTCTACTCAGACATGGCTTCACTGAAGAAGATGCCGTTAAACCTAAAGTTTCCAGCCATACTAAAAAAATAAACAATAAAATAGGACACCAGAGAGAACTACGTGAAAACACCGAGAACAGAATCAATTGATTGCTCTTCCAAGAGCATTTCTGTGGAATTTCTGAAACTAAAATTTCTGCACGAATTACCAGCTTGGAAACTCCTCCTACTTTAAATGAATGCAGGGGGAGGATGCAATCTTTCAGACTAAGCTGGCTTTTCCGTCAACTGTCTCAACAAATACTTTTGCCGTTAACAACATTATTAGTAATAATCATGATGAATTGTTAGTAATTACAATGATTTGGCTATTATTAGGAAATGCAGTATCATGTGCCAAACCGGAGGTTTTAAAGCAGATCCATTAGCATTCCTTTTTCAGAGAAACTGAGGCACAAAACTTCTCTAGTGAAAAATGAAAGGATTACTCTCCCCTCAAATAATCCACATTCAGAGAGCTCCTATATTCTTTTCCTTCACTATACACACAAACAATATGTGGGAATAACGTCATGTCAGATAAAACATGAACATGTGAGATAACATGACAGGGACAGCCCTTTCATCATAGCACATCTGTATCTTGCCCTGTACACATACAAACATGGTGCTTTAACTAGCACAGGTGACATGGTGTGAAGAAGCCGCATACAGTTTCTAGGCAACTTTCTTTAACATGATGGCAAAAGCTTCTCTGCTAGAGGAAAGTATTCTAAAAAGTTTCTGTGATAATACAACACCACTTCATTGGCAGAGCCTCTTTTACACAAATTTACATTTATTCCCAATGAATGCAGAATGCAGTTAAGTATGTGTGAAGATGGCTGCTGCCTAGCACGTCCCACTCTCAGGCTCAGAGGAAGCTGTACCCTACCTGCAGCAAGGGCAGTAAGATATCTGAGGGATGAAGTAATTGCCTAACACAGGCAAGAGATTCTTTCTACCTAATGCCAGCTATCTGGATACGTGCTAACGGCCTGAGTCATTGCACGAGGGAAATGGGAACCTCCTTGCCAAATACACATCCTTGGCTGGAGTAGTGAACTGAGTGAAAACTAAGGCTAGAATAATGCAGGTTTTGGCTATGAGGAGAAAGAGATGCTTTAATGATTAGGTAAATCCTTCAGACCGAAGGAAGCATCCTGCTGTAGTGAAAGCTGATGTTCCATCAACATCAACTACTTGCATGCAACTTGCATGCACCAACTCATGTTAACAGATAAACAGCATGCATAAAGAAGCCCTAGTGTGTTTTCCGGTAACTGGGACTAGGTGCATATGGTAGGTAATGCAAATATATGAATCTAACTGCCTACTCCTAAAGTACAAAAAACCCCCACCTAAATGTGAAAATGATGAACATTTGATGTCTTCTATGCACACTCCCTGTAATTCATTTGGATTTCTATGTGTTTCTTTCTCAGCCAAGAGCACACCACCTGAAAGAGCGTTAAGTTTTACAGCAGAGGACAGGACTGGACCCGCTGTGCTATCTGTGTAAGTCAGATCTGGTCTTGTGTCATATTATTTCCCCCTCAACTTTTGTCTTCGCAGCACAATGTTTAGTTTGTGGCATATACGGGTTTATTCAAAACGCCCAGTAGGAAGAGACTGCACTTAAAAGATCACTTACCATCTTGATTTCTTACCTTTCTCAGCTTTGAGGTGCCGCTGTGGCCTCTAATTGCTGCTAGTAGGGCTGAGCGCTCATTCTCTGGCTCAGCATATGAGGGCTTCCTGTGACTGCCATTTAGTGCACTGTCCGAAACCTAGAATATGAAAAGAATAAAGCTCACATTGTTATTAGATATTTACTTAGAGACAGTTTGGAAACACTATTAAAAATATTTTTGGCACTTGTACCAGAATGCAAGCTATGGAGACTAATCAGCCTGTCTTCTTTCAGGCCTGCTTTTACAACCCTTACTCACACTGAACGACGAAGATAACGTGTAGATAGTAACGCTGTACTTACAGATGCAGTCTCATATCCCCCGAGCATGAAGTCAGTGGCGAAACAGCATCATCTAGTATTACAAAATGCAGTTTTCTTTCATTGCAGGTATTTACAGCTTTTCAGCATACTGTGTGTTCCTGTTTTTACATAACACACTGAAATGCGGGGTCAGCTCTTAAGCTAACCTCAGTCACCTCTGCTTTATGCTGCACCTCTGCACCCTCTGCCTCTTCTGTGCAGCAGCAGTAGTGTTGCACAATATACAGGATCTGCAGAACAAGCATTGGCTTGGTCTGTATTTTGCCATGATGAATTTTTCAAATGCCTTGTGTACTCCAGCTCACCAGCAACTCTACCAGTTACAAAACCTCTCGTGTCTGACAGGGTGAGTACAGGGCTCTGCAGTCTGAACAAGCTAAACGAAGTCTCCACTTTACCTTTCTGAGTTTCTCCTTTCCCCCTCCTGTTTGAATGGCTTCCATGAGGGCACTGTGCAGTGATGTGTCTTTTGGAATTGGTTTTTGGACAACAGGTTTGAACTTCTTCTTTGGTCCAAAGATATTGGTCTGCGCGTTAACATCCAGTTCACTACTAGCATTAATATCCAAATCATCAGGTTTCTCCTCCTGTTCTGACTCTGCGTTTGCTGCTGCACCATTTAGCTCGGGTGAAGCTTTAAGTGAACTAACTTGTACACCATTAGCAGGAGGCCATCTAGTGATTCGCAAAGATGAGCTGAAAGAGGATGGGACTCCTTGGAGATCAGGAGACTTGAGAGATGAGGCTGAATTAGTATGGGTCAAAGTCTCACATTTCTGGTCAAAGAAAAGACGCATCTTTTTCTCTGCTATGCTTTGTCTGCTGTTTAAACCATGATCATCTTCTGCACTGTTGTTATCCCTTGAAGAGGATTTAGTAAGTGGGACACTGGCATTCTTTTTATAGAAACTCACAGGAGCTGCTTGATTTGGTGCCCTGATGTTAACTACTTTGTTTTCCACGCCAGAATTATCACCAGGTGTAAACCTGTGGGATGCTTTTTGACTGCAAGTAAAAATACTTGAAAGTGTTTCTCTAGTTTCTGCTGATTCTGTTTCCACAGGGCTATCTTTGGCCACAATAATACATCTTTTTGGTGAAACTTCTGCTTTGTTTTTAACCTCTCCTGTCCTGTGCTTATTTTCATCTTTCTCATGATATTCCATAGAGTCAGACTTAAAGGTAGTTACATTGATGTGTCTTGCAATGGCAGAGGCAACATACTGACTTGAAGTTCTCCTGTGTGGCTTTAGAAATGGAAGCTCCAGCTTGTCCTTATTAATGGTTGGGGCCACTAATGGTATTGCCTGAGACTGCGTAAATGGAAGAGGTGGTTTGGTCCTTTCATTCTCAGACAGTCTTTCAGCTACCTGGGTAGTAACAGTTTGTGGTCCTACAGGTTTTGGAGCTGCAAGACAGACAGGTTTTTGTTCATGTTTTATAGTAAAAGGCTTAGAGTTTGTGGTGACTGCTGACTTTTTAGGAAGATGCTCGGCAGAGTCATCACTTTGCTTTTCCATAGAACTTGACCTCCAGAATGCCTTCACTTTCCCAAGATGAATTTCCTCACTTTCATCAGTAGAAGTAGCTGGTATGTGCTTACTGACACCAGTGTTTGGGCCTATAAGGTTGCCTAGTTCATCTATCTTAATGGCACCAGTGGAAAGTGAAACTCCTCTATCGAACTGTTTAACTTCAGGTTTTGGAGGGACAACTTTAAAGGTTGTCAAACCCATTTTAGGTTCATAGCTTGTCCCTGTATTCTGGGCCCGATGACACCATGTGGGTGTTGCTGGGGCTTCTTCTACTTCAATTTTTTTTGCTGGCGGCCATTTGATTTCTAATTCTGACTTACTTTTCTTCAGAGATCTTTCCCTGTTACTACATTCATTAAATGGATTTATCTTCTCTTTTGCTGCACTGATTTCAGCTGTGGCCTTGGAGTGAGATGGAGTCAGCTTAGATTTATATTCGTCAGACTTCACACCATGTTTGGGGGGGGGTTCCAGTCTTAAGTTCTTTTCACTTCTTTTTTCAAAGCAGGATGTGAGAGATTCAAACATATCTCTCCTCTGTTCCACAGGCAAGTGACTGAATTCATTTACAGATGGTTGCTGGTGTATTAGGTCTTTGGATATGCATACAGCTCCACCATCTGTGTGTCCCTTATGAAAGGAGGCTGCATTGTTGTTTTTATTTGTAAAGTTTCCTGTACTAACAGAGTCAGCTGAGATATTTTGTGAAACTGTTGTCTCTGTCGCGTGACTTCCAGCTGAGTTAGAGGTGCTAACGTCTGGAGCATCATCTATGACTGTTACTGGAACAGAAATCGTAACATCTTGGGCAGCCTCAACTTTTCTTATACGTGGGCTCAACACTTCATTGATGTGCTCAGGGTCAGAGTTACTTATACCATCGGCTGCTGCAAAATACAGATACAACATTACATAGGCAATATGACTTTAAATTACACAAACAGCCAGTACAAGCTTAAGCAGATGAGATATTTTAGTTACACTAAAACTAGCAGGAATATATTCATGCCTGTACTACAAAAAAGGAGAGATCTGGGTCCTTTTTATTGTCTGGTTGCTGATTAGGATCAGCCAAATATTCCTGCAGTCGTCCTGCTTCAGCCAGTGGGAAACATACAAATGCAGCTGAAAGCAGAATTTAATCTATTGTTCATACCTTATCTTTGACTAACTTCTCTCACTGATAAACATTTCACCACATGACTCCAAAGGAGAAACATTTCTGAGAAACAGCGAGCAACTCCAAATTATGTTTCCCAGACCTGGTTAGTAATAACAGCCCAGCTGAAGGATTTCCTTGAGCAAGCAAACAAAGAAACAGTACTTGTATTTTTTCTCTGTTCTTCTTTCATTACCAGTGACTCCAGAAGCCTCATTGTGCAAGAAGCTTAACTCTCCTCTCATATTTGCTGGTATAAATCAAGGGTTACAACACAGAAGCTAAGGAATTGCAGTGTTAGAGAACTCACAGAAATTAAATCAGAACTGAGTCCACTGCAGAAGTACTGAAATAAAGATGGGAAGTTTTAAAAAAGTATTGAATATCATTTGGTGAGAAACCATTAATAGAGAAATACTTTCATACACAGTAGGAAAAAGAAGAGAACAATATGACATTTTATCTCTTCCCACTGTTTCAAGTTTTTATATTTTAAATACATCTGTTAATGCAGAGAAGGCATTGGCTACAAAAATGTCCCGCCCTTCTCCACTTCATTATGATAAAATACAAAACAGAGGTATTGTTCATTAAACACAGCTAAATTCACAACTGATTTAGCTTCACTGAAGCCAATGAAATGATACCAAATTGGCCTACAAAATATGTCCATAAATTGCTGATCATCTCTTTTTGGTACCAGGCATCAAAATACAATGACAATCTGATAAGCAGCTTGAAAAAAATTCAAGTGTGGGTCTATAAAGAGCGGCTGCCCCAGAAGCAGAGGGAGAGCAGCCACTTTGGGTTGACCACTTTCCACCTTAGACTTGTAAGTTGTTCCCAGTGATCTTAGTGAGAAATGTGCAGATGTCTCAGAGTACAGTTTGACTCTGCATCTCCTGGCTATGCCTCTCTCTCTTGTACTTTAGAGTTTACACACTTGCTACCTTCTAAATCTTCATCCAGGTCATCCAAAGTCTGCTGGAGTTGTGCAGCTATGAATACATCCTCATTCTCACGCTCAGTCAAAGCCATTTCTTCTTCTTCTTTCCTGCTAGATGAAAGAGGAGAAAGCGGTTGGGTCTCCTCCTTTTTTTGCTTTGCACTGTTGCTCTAAAATACATTCTCATTTCAGTCCCTTTGGTTCCACTGGGTTCTGAAACTCATTCCCCAAAGTATGAAAAACGTGCAGCCTCAGCGACACACACCGCCACACCGACTCGTTCACATCTACGCAGGATCTCTGTATGCATACTCAGTGTGCTGGTGATCAGAAGATTAGGATTAATAAAGCCTGTTGCAAAGAAATGGTCTGGCTTCACCGTGAAGTAGGCATTTCAGCTGGGATGCAGAAAAGCAGCATATGCCAAGGCAAAGGTTTTGCACATCCATATCATTTTAAAGCAGACCACTAGCCATCCTGTGCATCCCGTGTGCCAATATATCTGCACCATAATTAAATAAAAGTTGCATGGCAATGAAAATTAAATACAGCTAAGTACTGTTAGACGATCACTCTGAGGGGAGGGAGGAAATGAGGAAAGGGAAACGAATCCCTTGAGAGCTGTTTCTAATGAAACATATCAAGGGGCCTGATTCTGGCAGAAAATAACTCCTTGTTTTTTGATGAAGTTGTACAATGATCTAAAGCAAGTCTGAAATCAGGATGAGTGCCAAGTGATGTCTTGGCTTATTAAAAGTAAAAAAGAAGACGAAACTAAGAAAAATCTTAAAAAAAACGTAACTAAACTTCAAAAAATACGCATGGCAACCTGTTACACAACAGATCTTCTATTACTAGTAAGAAAAATCTTAACCAGAAGAGCTTTCTTATCTAAATCACTGGAGCTAGGATTTCACATTGGGCAATTCATTTTTTCCAGCTACCTGTTCCTCACCTGAATTTAAGACACTGTCATCTGTGACACTGTGTCTAAGTTTTGCCCTTGTGATTAGCTGATTGAAAAAATAATTTTCCATTCCAGCCACACCTAAACTGGCTCAGGTCGGGTGAAGCAGATTTGTCCTTTTCAAGATCAAACCCTTAATAGAATAGATACATTATTTTTTTGGTAGTTTACCGAACACTGCCTGAAAAATGCCATTTTTGTGCTGTCCTTTAAGATAATGCTCTGAATAAAAATTTGGGGATGTTTCCTGACGTTGATTTATTAAGACTAACAACGTAGCTTCCTTTTTTTGCTATTTTATTATTTGTTTTTCCCCTTGCTCACACCAGGAGCAACTGAAAGCACGTATTGAAGCACGAAGTATTTTCTTTTGTTTTGATTTATTTATTTATTTATGTAGCATTCACCTCTCTCTATGTCTTTTGTAGTAGTCCTGGAGCATGATTCTTCTACTTGCACCTAAACTGTCTTGCACTTACACAGCTGACTTCATGTATGTGGGATCAACGAAAACAGCACAACACACCTGCAAGGAAGCCTTCCAAAACTTTTTTCATGTACACATCCTTGTGTATCTGAACATACGGATGAGATAAATTCAAGATGGCAAGGCTACATATGTGTCTAAGTGGTTTCCAAAACTGGAATCTACGACAGAAATCTGTACTGGTTGTTTGAATACAGAGGAAGAGACATGAAGAGACACAGTGCTCTGTGACTGGAATACAATTTCTGCCAACTTTTGCCACTGACCCGATCTTTGACAGGCCCTGAACATCCCCAGAAGCCAATGTGAACCGATGATGCTCAGGCTCAGCATCCACACTGGTAAACTCAGTCAAATTCTCCAGCGGAGGCAACTGGTCCTCTAGGACTGCAACCCTACTGTATCCTGAAGCGCACACACACAAACCAATGAGATTACTCATCTGAGCAATCTGAGAAAAAGATGTAAATTTATAGCAGCATTCAGACTGGGAGAAAAGACTAGCAAACAAAACTCTGCACTTGAAGGTGGCAGACAGCATGAACTGACTGAATTTCATATTGGTTTTGCAGTGGAAAGTTTTACAAAATTAGTAAAAAATACTTGCTCTCCTCTGAGTGTGTTTTAAAACAACTTATTTGCAAACTCAGAGAGAGCATTTTCGATGGGAGAATCATTCAGACTGTGCACCAGCTAAGCAACAGGTCTATCCAGTGTGGAGGGCAAATATTGCTTTCCTCTTTACAAAGCTGGTCTTGTGAGATAGTTGTACACAGCTGGAAGCAAGTTACCGACACACGTTGAGACGCTCTGTGAAAAAATTGTTTCCAAAACCTTGGAAGAAAAATATGTAAATTTGTATATACTAGAGCATGAGACCTGATTTCACGAAGGTCATGCCAGCTCACCACCTTTTTGGTACCTGATTGTATCTTTGTGTCTCTTGCCTGACTGTTACACAATACACCCAAAATCTGTATTACTAAGGTTGTCCGTGCTGGGCTTTCTCTAGGAAATAAAAGGAACTATTGGCTTGAGAATTTTATGGGAAATTTATCTAGGAAAACATATTTGGGACTGGAACAGGGATTCCTGGGCTCCAAACATGCAGTGTAGGTCCACGGCACTGACCAGCTCTTATCTCACGTCAATCAACGGGAATCTTTCAATGACTCCTTACAGCAAAATTATCGTCTCCTTGATGGGCACACCAGTCACAGAGGTCTCTTTCATTATCCTCTGTGCACTTATGCAGTGACTGTACATAATTTGCCTCCCAATCTCTGCTTCAGTCTCCTTATCTAGTCCACTGGGACAATAACATCCAACTCAGATTCTTTCTGAAGGAATGAGAACAATGCAGTGAAAATAAAAGGATTCTTATTTGCTCTTAGAGGGAGCTTCAGAAAAAGCAGATCTTTTCTTTTGCATTTCCAGATTCCTAAAAGAGCTATTGTTCAATTCATCTCCAAACTTACCTACAAAGCAAGTCAGAAGGTACAGATTAATCACAGGACTCTTCTTAAAATTCTGAGCATCGGGAATTCGAAATGTGATACGTGTTTTGTGAGGTGAAGCTCTGGTAGTTTCAGGTAGCTCACGATTTATAAAGATGCCTAAGAAGACTTTCTCACAACAGTATTTGGGAAAGGAAAACAAAAAGGCCTCTAATTTTTTTTTTGCTTATAGCCTTCCTCCCTTCTAACTCTATACACTTTTCTTTTGTTGTCAGCTCTGTTTTGGACAGAATCCAAGAAAAATATGAGTTTTTCCGATACCATGTTTTACATACTGGATAAACATTACCAGTGGTATTTTCTCACACACACTTTTTTGACTTGGGGAAGAACTTGATAACATTTAGATGGCCTTCCTGGTAAAACGTGAGGCACTAAAAATACAGCACTGGTGAGCATTTAGCCCAAGCTCGAGATGGCAAACGGGCATGGTTCCTGGAAGCCTGTGCACTGATTACTTACGTAGATTAGCAGAGATTTGTGCAAAAGCACAGAACAGAGCAAAGTGACTACTGAACTACAGCCTGTAGTGTTCCACTGAGCTCAGGCTACAACACATAATTACTCCTTGGCAGTCATTTGCGCAGTTGGAGGCAAAATGAAACTTACAGCAGCATTTCATCAAATCAGTGCCATGGGAGATGGATATTTATGAGAAAGTTTACATTCTAAGTAAGAGAGAAACTTCTCTGATAAACCTAGCTGGAAATGCTGCATTAAAAAGAACCACTAACCAGTAGTAAGACTATGGATTTGCAATGACAGGAGCTGCCATTTTGTTACAGTTAGAGCAGCTTTACCTGGGGGTCTGCAAATGATGAAGCTGACCCACGTGTCTTCGAGCACTTCTCAGGAGTTCTGGTAAGCCTCACACATGCTACCACAGGTAGAGACCACAACTCCCACCGTAACTATCTAAATACAACACAGACCCATGTAAACTGCAGAGAAGGGACTGAGGAAGAGATTCAGTTACCTAAACTCAGGCACTTGGTGCCATCTGAAACACTGGAGGACACGCAACACATCTGTCTGGGGCTGGCAGACATAATATGGAAGATAGAGAGACCCACGTCCTGCTGGAGTAGCAGCAGGCAAGACGAATGGCAGTAGACATCTCTCAGGTTAACTGAATGCGACCTGAAAAGTCTCACTCATGTTGCACTACGTTTGCCATATCAAAAGACTTGAGAACATGGCTCCTGTGAATTTGTTACTAGTTGGGAAGGGAAGACAGAGCCATTGCAAACACCAGAGTGAAATCCAGACAGGCACACGGCGCAGCAGCACATGTAGGGATGCAGTGACCGCTGTGAGGCAGCTCAATGGACATTGAGAGCATTCAGCTTCTTAGGCAGCTAACAGGGACTGACCGACATGGAAAGCTGATATGGTTACTCCAGAGTGAGCTTTGGAGCATCTGGGCTCCTTTTCCAGCTCTGATCGTCTTCTCAGTCTGATACTGAGGAACTACATTAACCCATCTGTAGGTATCCAAATTTGTCCTCTTCCAAATGAATCCGCAATCTTCTCATCTTACACAAATGCTGGAAAGAGCAATGCTTCTACCTCAGGTATATATCAAGGTGGGTGTTAAAGAAGAGACTGTTGCTGAACGATTTTAACTTGTAGAAACTATGGCTGAACCTTTTTGAATACAACTTTCCATTCAACCAGGGCAGAAAGATGGCATTAAGTAAACTCAAGGTGTTTATATACTTGTGTTTGTGAGCGATTCAGAAAAGTACTCTTCAAAAGCAGAGGTAACTATGTTCCAGGGTAATTGACTGTTTACAAAATGGACTGTTCTTCCATTCTTTGCATTACTTTGGCTAGATGACATTTTTCTGTTTCCTTCCAAGGAAGGAATATAATAGCTGCAGGAGAGCAGCTAGTGCAAGTGATGGTCTTTCTGGCGACCTAAGCCATGACCTGACCAGCCACATTTTCCATTTCTGCTGCCTCCTGTGAACCTGAGCATGAAGTTTTAATGTTTGACTGACCAAAGCCTGTCAAGATGCAAAATCTGTAGACTGAACAACCTACTTGGGACTGGTTAGGTCACAAGGTCACCACCTGTCTTTGATGCAGGATTTCTGAAATTGTAGGCAACTAGGAAAGGAAAAAGCACAATGGT